TTTTTTTTTATTTTTCCTTATCTGAAAGCAACGGACCCATTCGTTTCTTTTCTCATTTCTTCCCAACCCTTTCTACCTTGAAACCTTTGGTCCGTCTAATACTCTCCCCAGCAGTCAGTTCCTAGCAAATCCCTCCAGTTCAGCTGATATGATGCCAGAATTCAAAGGGCAGAGGGTACAACGTTATACCTATCAGCCCAACTGGATAGGTGAGCGCCGGGAGGCAGCGTTCATCAGTGTTCACCCACCCGGGTCGGCTGGCGGGTAAAGAATTGGGCATCAGAATAAGCCGCAGTGCTACCTTGAATGATGGCGATGTTTAACCAAACATACCCACCTACCATTATTTACTGTCTTCCGCTATTTTACGTATTTGCCATCGCCTTTGATAGCCAACCGCCCACTGCCCACTATCTGACCCGATAAGTGCTTTAATAACTACCATAAACATAAACCACCTAGCCAACTTTTCGGGACTCTTATTCACAGCTTCAAACAGATTTCGAGCAAATACTAATCTTTAGTCTTCCAATTCAGAGTCGGTGTACTCAAGTGTGTATACCTAATTTTCACCTCGTCTACGTAGAGCTGTCAAATAGCCCCCTGCTGTGATTTCAAACCGGATACTTGACCTTGTCACCACCACATTTGGCTTATTCGAATCGCTGTTTCACGAAAATATCGATGACATCGTCTCAACCCGTGAATGTGAACATTTCGCAGTTGCGAATACCTCTCACACATTACTTGACATCAGTATGGGGATGAACAGTTAAAAACTGTAGGCCTACTGAGTAGTTCAACAAGGAAGGAAAAAAATGAAGGGAATCGTGGAAGACTTTGAAGATATTTCTTTTCCTTTGTCGAACTTATGTATTGCACGAGTTATCGGCAATGAAAATGAGATTATTAGTAAGCTTCGCTCCAAATGGCATCATGTCAGAAATTAGGATGACAGCACTCATTCCTGAGCTGATCGTCATGTTTGCGGGCTTTGATCGTTGTTGTCTCAGTCGCGGTTGGTAATATCTGAGCGTTCCGATAGGACAATGTTATTAAGAGATGTCAAGTTGGGACCATCCGTCTGTAAAACAGACTGGTATCATCCTAGGTATGGGCCCTATCGTCAAGGCTGGCTTACCATATTCGCTGAGAAAACCTACTAACGGCAATGATCCCATTACATTCAGCCCGTTTTGCGATTCCAGTAGTGTGAACAGGGTCGACCACAGAATTCCGCAGAGGATGGGACCTTGGAAGCATGATGGACATTTTTACTCGTTCATGTGGAGAGAACCATTTCGAAAAAGGTTTTCTGGTTCCTTTGGACAACTCCTAAGTGGGATGGTGAATAGTATTCTCGCTCCGTGGAGTGATGACTGATATACTGAGGTTTGGCAAAACGCCCATGAAACAGTTTTTTAAGCTAAAAGGTTTCTCAATGAGACCGTATTGTTACCCTTTTCGTTTTGAGACTATGCCTCGAAATCAAATCTATTTCGGACTAAACACATGAAAGGTAACCGCGTAGATATCCCTCACCTACGAGGGGAATTGTCTCAGCGGTACGCTCGATTGTTAGAGGCACGAGAATACAACCAGGCAGCAAGTGCTGGATGGCAGTGGCATGGGAATCACTTCAACAAACACGTTTGCACCGTCTTTGGCTAACTTGCTTGCTACCCTACTTCCCAAGATGGCTGTCCTTTCGTTGGTTTAACATAGAGGGACACATGAGTAAAGGGAAAGATATGTTGGCATGCATTAAAAGATCCGAAAGGCCCAGGAAAACTGAAGAATGCTAGGTAGGTCGAAAAACATCAGGGCCATGCTATATGCCAAGCGACTACCAAAGGATTATGAGGAAAATGACTACTTCAGCGCGATGAAGTATGTAAAATATTTAGTGGTGACCTCGAGACACATTGCGTCAGGAAGGTGGCATTGTCCTTCCATAACAATCATAATTTGAAATATTTAAATCAGAACTCGGAAAACGCCTAATGGATTTCGAACCCAACCAGTATACCCACGTGTTTCTTGTCCCGGAACAGTTTGGTACTAGTTACCACTTTAGAGAGTAAGGAGGTTGGGACTACCTAGCTACAATCATCAGAACGGATTCTGCAAATAAAACTGCACCTATCAGCACTGTAACTCCGATCATGGGACGTGATAAGAAATTTTTCTACTCACATTGAGAAGAGCTGCAGGAATTGGAGTTTTCTTCCTATTTTTGAGATTATTTAATTGAGGACTAATATGGAACAGCCATTCGCAAACTTCTGCCAGCAGCCAGCCACCAAAAACGTTGAACTGTAACACAGAAACCATGATCAAAAGTCAAACCGAAGAGCATCCCCCCTGAAGAAATTCCCAGCAACAAAAGTAACCTCCTCCACTGATTGGGTATCAGCACGCTTTTCTTCAGATTTCTCTCGTGAACACGAACTACTCCGACTACGGCTTCCTGCCTGAGAATCAGAACCGCTTGAGGCTCTCCTCCTTCTTATTCGGATAACCTGAACATCTTTGTTAGTTTGAGCCCAAAAAATGAGAAAAAACCAAAAGGAAAGCCTCACCTCATCATCGTCGACGTTATTTTCTGTCTGCGTGACGACAACATTATCGATGAGA